TGGTTATTCCTTCCAATGTGTTCTTTATTTCTGCTATGTCACTCTTCATTTCTGCTTGGTGGTTTTGCATTTTCAGTTGGTTGATTTTTATTGTTCCCATATCTTTACTCATGCTGTTGAGCTTCCTTATAATTATTAATCTGAACTCTACCTCTGATAACTTGCTTAATTCCATTTTGTTTATCTCTTCTTCTGTAGAATTCTCATGTTCTTTCATTTGGGATTTGTTTCTTTGTTTCACCATTTTGGCTGTCTCAGTGGGTTTTGGAGTCTGCCAAATTTTCCCTGTGGGTGTTGGTGTTCTGCTGATTGTGGCTCCCTCTATTAGGTTTGGATGAGTATGGAAGGGACCATATTAAACACCAATGTCTAGTGTTAATTTTCTGGGTAGAGTCCAGGCCAAGCAAAGATTCAGTTATCCTAGAGCTTTTGCCTGCAGGCTATTAGTCTCAATTACTTAATGAGGCTGAGGTTGTAGCCCTCAGCTAAATAAAAAATCCCTCAGATGGACAGGGTAAGAAGATTTCCAGCAGGTGAGGCAATTGCTTTCCCCTGGGTTAAAGTTGTTTTAATAAGAAAGTGGTTTCTGTAGTGTGGATTATTGTCTCAGTGCAGGGGTCCAGGCCTCTGCCTACACTTGTTTAAATTTTAAGCTTTCCATTCTGGTTTGACTTAGTCATTAGACACAAATGTCTATTATGATAAAATGAACAGTAGTTGATGAATGACATTGAGAACTACAGGTGGGAACTGATAGCCACTGAGTTCAGTTTACTATTTTATTTCACGTGCATCAATGAACTTGTAGAGTTTACAGTCACTGACTGCTAGGGTATACTTTTATAATTGTATGGTTTTTACTTTACATTTGGTAATTCAAAAATTGAGTAAAATATAAGTCCACCTAAGGAGAATATGTTTTCTAACCACATTTTTAGGCAAAGAATCTTTTTAACTTGGCTTCACTTTTAACAATACATTTTTAAACAATTAAGAATAAGTTACTGAATCATATGTCTATAGGGAATATGTTGCAGGTTTTAAAAGTTCCTTATTTTAAATTTTACTAATACTTATATTTTTAGAGTTTACAAAGATCAGCCAATTCCATCCTATTTTGCTTACCTTTTGGCTTTGGATGTTTATAATTATGTGATTAATGCTTCATATTGCTTATTATTTTATGAAAATTTTCAACTTTACTGTGTTTTCTCCAAAAATTAATCTTATTTTTTATTTTGCTTCACTTTTTTCTTTTTTTTGATATGCGCCTGTAGCGGGCCAAACCCAGGACTCTCTGGTCCACAGGCCAACTCTCCAACTGCTGAGCCAAACCAGCCAGGGCTTGCTTCACATTTTATGTCAACATTTTTAGCACATTTTAGGGTTTGGGGGAGGGGGTTGTAGCTGCATTTTAAATTGACAAATAATTACTCTTTTTTGAAGAACAAAATTCAAATTAAAACATAGGTCTTTTGCTTATGTAAAAAGAAAACAGAAGATTTAAGAAAAAGTATTAACTTTCTATTAGAGAATCAACCTGTAACAAAACATTATGATCATAGTTGTAGTTTCAGGATAGAGTATAAAACTTTTGGAAATACCAAGTAAAATATCACTTATATCACTACAAAGGGTAGTGAAAGATGGGTTGAAAAAAGCATAACGTGCTTATTGACTCATCTTTCATATTAAGAATCCCTGTCTGCTTCTGATCTCCTGGGGGTGGGCTCATAGCTGTGATGACAGTTTCATTGGCCACGGATAGAGAGATGCTGAAAAAATAATATGTTTTAGTCTGATACAATTTCTCAACCTGGACACTGCCGACATTTGGTTAGATAATTCTGTGTGGTAGGGGCTGTTTTGTGCATCGTGGAGTGTTTAACAGTATCTTTGGCCTCTATCCACTATCCATTTGTGACAACCACAGTGTCTCCAAACTATGACAAAATGTTGGGGTAGCATTTGGAGGGTGGAGTTGTGTATGGAATCACCCTGGTTGAGCACCGCTGACATTAGACTACAGGTCACAGTATAGGAGATGCAACATTCTCATCTCATTGGGAGCTTCAGCAGCTACCCAGGCACACAGCTTCTTGTGACCTCTCAACCCCACAAGGTGCTCGTGGCTACCGACGATGGGGGTCACGGTGTGTGGTGTGTCCCTTCAATCCACAGAAGCTACCACCCTTCTTTTGTGCATATCTTTTATGACTGCCTAGCCCCAGAGGCCCGAGGCCTGCATGCAACAGCCCCAAACCAAGTCCCACCGCTCCCGTTCTCATCGGTCTTTTCAAGGACACAGAGCAGTGGGGAGCGAGGTCAGTGTCTGCGCAGCCTCTGGCATCCCAGGCCCACGTGAACTCTGCTCACAAGCAGAAGATAGATAAATGATTGCATTATTTAGGGTTATAGGCATGTATACGTATTTCAAACAATATTGAAGAAACAGTTTGAAACTTTACCGAATTAAGATACATAATGATCTTCATAATTATTAAAACCAGAAACTGAGAGTTTGGAACTTTCAGGGGTTTTTTGTTTTGTTTTGTTTTTTTATTTTTTTATTCCTCACCCGAGGATATTTTTCCATTTATCATCAGATAGAGAGGCAAGGAGAGAGAGAGAAACATCGATGTGATAGAGCCACATCGACGGGTTGCCTCCCACACAATCTGACCAGGGCCGGGGACAAACCACAGCCGAGGTACCTACCCTAGACTGGAATCGAACCCGCGATTCGTTGCGGGCTGACGCTCTAACCACTGAACCAAACCAGCCAGGACTCAGGGTGTTTTTTTTTATGCACTATTTTACTGTTTGATTTTTTAAAGAACTATGTACCTCTACTAAAAAAAAGTTGCAACAAAACTGGTTTTATAATAAATAAAATTACATCAGGATCAGTTTTTAACGTCACGTGACTGGGCTTTCCTTCCTACATCCAATCATATTTTCTTCTTTAGTGTCACTGACTCTGTTTTAAGAGGAATCGTGACAAATGCCGTTGTGCCGTCTCAGCGCTGTGTCCTCTGTGAAAACCTGCTGTGACGGGCCGGATCCTGCCTTCACTGCAGTGCTGGTGCCCTGCACCCGTGTCTCCCAGAATGTGCGGTTGGCGTTCTAGGCCAGGAGGAACATTGGAATGAGCGTGTAGTTGATTCTAAAGTGAACCATGGAATTTGGACGGGATGGTCAGCTGCATGCCTGAGCTTGTGCGTCTGAGCTGCGCCCTCTGCAAACAGTCACTCCTGTGTCAGTGCCCATCAGACGCCTGTTGGGCCGTCACCCAGCGAATGCAGATCTGCCGGTGACCGGGCCAGTCGGACCCTGGCAAGGATCCACGAGTGTCCCGTCCAAAATCATGCTCTTCGCCATCGGCACTCACATGGAAGGGGTGGGCCGAGAAAGCTTAGGGGAGGAAGGAGAAGCACAGGCTGGATCTTGCAAAGGGCATCTCGTCGTCGAGGGACCTGACTGGTCGTTACTCTGAGCTTAGCCAGGCCAGATCCAGGTTGCAGTTTATACAGTCTTGGTGCCCTCGGTAAGAAAAAGGATAACGTAGAGATGTTTTTAAAGTTTCACGGAAATGGCTGCCCTGTGCACACATTGCCAGGGCCCCTCTCTGCAGACAAGGGTCCCCAGCTTCGGTTTCAGGGAAAACCCATCTCTGCATCTGTTGGTGTGGAGCACGTCAGGCCTGTTCCACGCCAGGAGCTGGGGGTGGCATGAGGCCAGGTCACAGGACCTTTGCCTTCGGGGCCGTCACAGACTGTGATGAGGGCAGGGCTGAGGGAGGGAGAGGGGTGTTTCACAAGTATTTTCCGGAGCGTCTGCTAGGCCCCAGGCTCAGTGCTGTGTGCTCATAAATAGAACATGCCAGTCCCTTCCTCAGAGAGCCTGGCACCTGGGCACGGTGCTGTTTGAGAAGTGACACTTGGAAGAAAGGACTGGCTTTGACTGTGACACCTTCCCTTTCTCTCTGGGTGTGACCTCAGTCAGGGACTTTCCTTCACCTCATAGGGAAGCCGCTCGGCTCACGTCGAAGTCAGGATGGGCACACGGGCCAGCGTGACATTCGTCCATGATGTCACGTGCCGCCTGGCCCACGGAGGCTGCCACTGCTGTTTTTCTTCTCTGTCTGCTCTGGTGTCGACAGCCCACGTGACAAGCCAAGAGTGAGCCGTGTCATGAAGCACGGGCCCGTGCGCACCGTGAGAGCAGCTGTCGCAGCTGAGAACCTCACTGGGTCCTCGACCTTCATGAATACATATGCGCTCGCTGGGGACAGAGGCCGGCCTTGTCCTGTTACTGCTGCACCTGCAGCACTGGAGGCAGAACCTGACCTGTCACTGACACCCAGCAGAGGCCTGTGGAGTGAGTGATGACAGACACGCGTGGTGTCTCGTCTCGGTCTGCTCTCGGCCCTTCCCTTGGAGCTTGCTGCCCGCGTTTGTTTCTCTCAGCCTCAGCACTGCTGACTTTCTGAGCCAGACAATTCTTTGCTACAAGAGCTGTCCTGTGCACTGTGGATGTTTAGTCTCTCGGCTGTGACAAACAAAAATGACTGTGGACATTGCCCGACGCCCTCCAGGGGAACGGGGAGAGCATGGCCCACCTTGAGACCCGCTGGCCCATGCAGCAGTCTTCAGCGTGACAGGATGGGAGCTCCGAGTGTCAGGAGGGACCGCCAGGTTCACGGAGCACAGCTTCTCACACTGTCCTGTAGCTGTCCGAGCGCAGCACGCTGCTCCCGCCTAGTCTGACAGCAGATGAGCCCACCATGCGTGAGCCTCTGACACACAGTGACAGAACCATTCTGAGCATGAGGGTGCACGGTGCTGATGGCACGGCGCCCCGTAGAGACAGCGTCAGCGCTGCCGAGTACTGCCCTTCCCCAAGGGCAGAGGAGCAGGAGGCTCTGCCTGTCGCACACACCCCACCCTCCTCCTGCGTCCCTCTGTCTGTGCTCTCAATAATCTCCCTGGCCCTTCCAGAACCATTTTGGAAATGGGAGGCAGGGAAGAAGAAAGAGGAAGAGAAGAAAAAGGAAAAAGGAGGTAAGAAGAACACAAGCATGGTACCACTCAAAGTTAACACCCAGGATAATTAGCCTGGACCCTGTTGGACCACCATAGAGTTGGGTCTGTTTCATCGTTCAACCCACAGACCAGGTTAGAATGGTTCTGCCACTGTCTGCAGACTGTCCTTCTTTTTTATGTATAAAGTTATTTAAAAGGCATCTGGAAGATGCAGCTCAGATTTCTCATAAGGACAGATAGTTGGTGTGGGGTGGCCTCTTTACGCAATAGAATAAGGAATACACTACAATGGTACTAAAGGGGGCATTTGGATTGGGGAACAGGAAGGCTGCATGTCCCTGCCGTGTGCAAACTGTGGAACAACCCCTGAGGCGTGAGTCTACACTGGCCTCTCTCCCTTCACCCTGAATCAGGCCGTTTGCCCCAGTGCATTGAGTGGCACCACCTCGAAGGCTGGGCTGACACGTTCTCGGGCACCTTGCAGAGCGGGCAGATGCTCACGAGGCACCGTTCCTCGGGGAGGAGGATGACTGCTTTCTGCCTCCAGAAAGCACGCATACTTGGAGTGTGCTCCCCTTGTCCCTGGCACGGAAAACTGCACACCGGCCGCTGGCTGACCCTCCTCAGCCGGCGTCATTGGTGGCGTGGGCAGGGCCCTTCGAACATCAGTTGATGCTTCTCAGAAGGAAGCCGGCCTCTCTCGCTGGCTCTCCCTAGCCGGGGTCTGATTAGTTCCATTTCAGCAAATTAAGCTTGCTCCTTCCCCAATTTTCCTCTTGTTTCTCCCCCTCCCCCATCCTCAGAACATTGATTCCTCTGACATCTGTGTGCAAATGTGTGAAGTTACATATTGCTATTGTCCGTGAATCGATAGTTGCTTATTATACAGAAGTGACGCCGCCCACAGTGCCAAGCCCTTTTTAAGGGCCCTCCGCAGCAGGACACTGTGGAAAGAATCAAAATGAGGAAAAAGTAAAAGGCGGCATAAATTGGTGCTTCAAAGCTCAGTCTCTGGTTCAGCTGCCAGCCAAGCTTCAAGTTCTGGACATGTGACCTTGGGCAACTTACTGGTCTCTCTGGGCCTCGGTCTGTCATCTGCAGACGGTGTAATCAGAGTGGTTGCCATCTTCGGGGTGGCCGTCAGGCTGAAAAGGACACATGGAAGGTGCTGGCATGCTGCCTGATGGGCGGTTAACACTCAGCCGACGCGAGCGGTTACTCAGAGCTTTCTCAAGAATAGTTTGGAGGGTTTTTGTGTTTGTTTTTATTTGTTTGTTATGTTCTCTGCTCTGACTCAGTTTTCTCTTTAATTTCAGGTTCCATACTTTGGGCGGAGAATGCATCACACATGCCCATGTGTGCCCGGCTTAGCCTGCGTCCGGGCCTCCTTCAACCGATTTGTGTGTTTAGCCCGAAAGTAATCACTTCAGAGTAGAAACCGTACATGTGAACGTCTGTGTGACGTCTGTAAGATTGTTGCTTGTGATTGTGCCAACACAGCGCAGGCCAGAGACACGCTGCGCGTCCTTGACTCCCGAGAAGCATTTCCTGCTTTGATGTTTAAATGACCTCCTCTTATTGGAATGATTTTAGTTTGAGGCAAGTGGAGTGGGCATTATGAAACCGGCTCCTGTTTCCCTGTTTGTGCGAGGTTTGGCTTGGCTTTTCTTGAATGCCAGTAACACCCATTTTCACAGAAATAAGGACAACAAGAATTTGATATTTTGTTACAGAAACTTTTTTCTTAACCCTCCTCCTATCCATGCCCTATCACACACACACACACACACACACACACACACACACCCTTCTTCGCCCTTTGATATCCTCTCTCACTCCTTAAAGAGTTTTAAGGACTCTTGGCCATTTGCTTTCTGCCCCTCTGATATTTTAAAATAGGGGGGTCACAGGGGGTTTTCATACCCTTTAGCCTGCCAGTGGAGTCATTGATGAGAATCAAGCTTTTTGATACTGAAACAGTGAAGAGTGTAACCTGACCTAGACACTCCAGACTCCTTCCCCAGGGTCGGGGCGCTCCTCCTGTGCAGGGGGACCTCAGGTTTGCTGCGTAACTGCATGAGGACAGAGGAATGGAAGTCAAACTCATTCAGCCCAGATACATAGACTTTAAAAAAGACTTTCCAATTCAGAAGCGATTTTCAACTGATGTGCCACAAGAATCTTTAAAGCAACACCTGACTATTTGGTCGGGGCACTGCCCTCTCTTCCTGAGATTGTGAAATAAAACAATGACAACGGCCCATACACAGCAGGCACTCGGTGTGAATGAGTCAAACGTATACCTGCTGTTTTTGTTCAGATAGGCAAAATATAGATTGTTTTGGTGTGCCACAGAATTTTAGTAATTAGTTTGTGTGAATATCCCTACAATGCATTCTTTTATGAAATTAATTTTATTAGAAAAGTCTTGTACTTAGAGATGCTCCCGAAAATGTCACTTGAAGAGGAAGTATTGATTTTACTCTGGCGTAACACTAGTTATCCTTGTAAAACTGGTATTAAGTTGTAACTCAAACTTCATCTGTAACCAGAAGTTCATTGTAACGAATTGCCTGATGTCCTGCCATTAGTACTGTGTCGATATAGCTGTATAAAAATTCTGTATCAGAATAATGACAGTATTGTATATCATTTGATTTATTTTAATATTATATGCTTATTTTTGGCACAGCTGTCTTCAGTTTTCATTACAAGCAGATTTTTACAGAGCCTACACCTTGACATTGGTGAGGACTCCCCAGCTGGTGAGCAGCGCTGCTGGGGTGCGTTTCCCGGCTGCACGTGGGGAAGCTCTGTGTGCACGAGTTCCCAAGTGACACAGAGAAACGGTGGACATCGGTAAGGCTGGGCATGCAGGAAAATCATGACATGCAGCACTGACTGCAGTCAGGAACGGACTCGCGGGACCCCCTGGTGGGTTCAGCAAACAGTGATGGATGTCTGTCACGCGGGCTCAGGCAGGGTGCCAGGTGCCCACTGGGTGGCGATGCCAGTGTGGCCTGGCCTCGAAAACCTCACTGAGCATTGTAAATGCATCCACATCACAAATAAACACCTTGTGAATCGTGTTTCCCTGCCTAGCCCTCACATGCCACCTGCTAACGGCCCTGCAGAATGCTCGTGTGCACTTTCTTGCTCAGCCAGGGCTTGCAGCACGTGCGTGTGGCTTACCCCGGGCTCATGTGCGCGTGCGCGAGTGGGATTTTCCTGGACTAATTACCATCATTGGTCACCGAAGTATTAGTTTAGTCTGTGTTCAAGGAACATTACTTAGTGACTTTGTTGGGGGAGAAATCAGATTTCAGCAAGTGGAGTTATAGGTAAAGAGCCAGGCCCTTCAGCAGAGTGGCTCAGTGTTGTCACAACACGTGCGAGGCATCCCCTTCAGTACTGGGGAAAACAGCTGGACCAATCATCCATCTCAGCCAACTTCAAAAACATCTAATCAGCACACCCGGAGCCGTGCCCAGCACCTCGCTGCTGTCCAGAGACAGAGCCTCGCTCTCTGTGACCTCGCCCCTTGTCACACTTTCGTTGAGGAACAGTGCTCCCTTTTTTAGTGTATACTTGTTTGGTTTATTGTTTTAACCTGTTACCAAAGTTAGCACCTTTCAAATATTTCCCAAAAAAAATGTAATCAGACCTCATAGAGACTCTCTAAAGTAATTCTGAGCAAAGAAGACAAAGTGTTGCATTACAAAGACGGGCACTGCCCAGCCAGTGTGGCTCACTGGTTGAGCAGAGACCCATGTACCAAGAGGTCGCCGGTTCGATTCCTGGTCAGGGCGCATGCCCGGGTTATGGGCCCGATCCCCAGTAGGGGGCATGCAGGAGGCGGCCAGTCAATGTCCTCTCTCATCAATGTTTCTCTCTCCCTCTCCCTTCCTCTCTCTAAAATAAATAAAGAAAAAATATATATTTTAGAAACAAAGACTGGCACAGTGTCTCCCATGCCCTGGGATGGTCTCTCACTAAAGCTGGGCCTGAACTTCTACAAAATTAGGTGAAGCAAGAATTTAGACGAGAAATCAAAAGCGACAGTGCGCTTTTTGATAGTGTGAAGGGATGGAACCCGTTAGAAGGCAGAAATGAATCATTTCAGAAGCTACTGACCAAACTCCAGTGCACTTTCGGATTTCATTAACTGACTTTCATTAAGACTGACATTTCTGACTTCAACCTATTTTTTAAACTATAGAAAAGTTTGTACCAAAACAGCTTTCTTACAGCCTCTCCTATGTCCTGAAGACCTTCATGCCTCCCAGCATCTCTGTCGCTGTTTGTTGGAGAGAGAGTCTGTCTGTGATAGAGCTAACACATGACCCAGCTTTCTTTATTGGTTTTGATATGAGACATATCATCCCACTTGTTCTAACTTTAGTTTTAGAAGATTAAAGTTGGGGAGCATTTTTATTTTAAAAACAGGACATTTTTGCTATTCAGTGAGGGTCACTGTCTAAAATTCACTGGCAACCTTTTATGATCATTCTGCTTCAACATGGTGCCATGTATTTTAGGTAATATTCTCAGAATAAATATTTCATGTTCGGATATCTTCCCCCTAATTTGTTTGATATCTTCCCCCAGCCCTACCTTCTGCATTTAAAGAGCACTATATTCTAGCATTTTTTAATGTATACCAGAGGTAAAAATCCTAATCAACATAATCTTTAAATAAAGTTTAGCATCTCCCACCGCCCCCCCAGAAAAGAAAACCAGAGTATTTTCACAGGACACACTTCCCATAATTAGAGGTGCATTCATAGGCTGATCTTGAAGTACTGTTCCCACTGTTTCCACCTCCTGCCTTCAGAGACTCTGACGTGACTTGTCCGGGGTAAGGCCTGGGTGTTAGGGCTTTTTTAAAGCTACTTGTTGAGAGGTGTGCCCATGGCTGAGAGCCACTGACTGCCTACTGTTTCCCTGGGACACTACTTTCTGAGACGCCTTTCTGGTTCAGTGGTTGAGTGTCAGCTCATGCACCAAGGGGTCACCGGTCTGATTCCTGGTCACAGCACAGGCCCAGATTGTGAGCCCGATCCTAGTGGGGGCAGGCAGGAGGCAGCCATCGATGTTCTCCCTCATCGATGTTTCTATCTCTCCTTCCATCTCCCTTCCTCTCTCTCTAAAATCAATAAAGAAAAAAAATTTTTTTTAAAAGTCAAGAGAGTAGATAAATGGTTTTTTTGCCACTCTCAAAAGCGTCGTGGTGCTGCCAGCATTCCGAGGGAGATGGCGGCAGGCCCAGGGAGAAGCTGGGCGGCGGACACAGCTCTGTGAGAAGCTATTGTAGATGAGCAGGTCTGGGTTCAGCCTTGCTGGTCTCCTGGCTCCATGACTCTTACTCCTTCCAGGTGCCTCCTCCCAGGTAGCTAATCTTCCAGACACCCAGGCATAGACTCCCCTCTCCCAGCCCGTCTCCCCTACGTCTCAGGATCTCATTCTGTTTTACTGGACCCACAAATCATCCAAAGGCTTTAGAATGTCCAATGTTGCAGTCGATTGTAACTGAATAACTCAGACAGGTAAGCATTTCAATAAAACATGTACACATCACAGAAGGTGGAAAGCCAGAAAGAGGAACATCCTGGTGTGAGCGTGATTGATGGTAAAGAGCACGGGCTAACCTCTGCTATGTACATCCCACGTGGGCATCATGTGTCCCTGTGGGCATTGCCCACGGGAGCAGTTGTGCCCGCTAAGCAGAACAGTGGCCTGGTCCGTGCAGGGGCAGCTGTGGGGTGTCTCCAGGCCATCTCTCGCTGTGGTCTAGGGTTTCCCATCTCTACACTGCCTCGTTCCTGGATAATTTCTTTTAGGGGTTGCATTATGCATTCGAGAATACTTAGCAGCACTGCTGGCCCTACCCAGTAGATGCAAGTAGTCCCCCTTAGTTGTGACAAGCACAAAGGTCTCTAGACATTGCCAAATGTCCTTTGGGGGTACAGGTAGAGTAAATCATTCCCCTGCGAGACCCACTGATTTAGCCTGAAGATATTTTGTTTCTGTTTGGCATTATTTAATGATGAATTTTTATTTCAGTATCAAACAAATTTGAAATGACAGGATTTTAAAAAGCATCCAAATGGGATTTTACAAAATCAGTATCCTAAAAAATGTATTTTTTTTTTTTTTATCCTCACTGGATGACATTTTTCTATTTTTTGTTCAGATAGACTGGGAGGGAGAGAGTGGGAGAGAGAGAGAGAGAAACATAGGTGTGAAAGGGACACATTGAGCGGCTGCCACCCGCATGACCAACCAGGGCCGGAGACAAACTGCAACCGAGGTACCTGCCCTTAGCGGGAACTGAACCCGGGTTTCTCTGGACCACAGGCCGACGCTCTAACGGCTGAGCCAAACCGGCCAAGCCAAACCGGCCAGGGCAGTAGCCTAAAAAATACAACCTACAACTATCATTTTGCATACAAAGTAGGGTGAGGTAAACGTCTGATGGTAACTTGCATGGCCAATCGAAGACTGGAGTTATCTGTCAGCTCTTCAGTTCACTGTGTTTCAAGGAAAAATATTTTATATTAAATCACTTTTTAAAACTTGAGACAGCCCTGGCCAGGTAGCTCAGTTGGTTAGCACATGGTCCCGATATGCCAAGATGGCAGGTTTGATCCCTGGCCAGGGTACAAGCCCGAATCAGCCAGTGAACGCATGCAGGGGAGGGCAGGGTGGCTGCGGGCGAGCTGGAGGCTGCCCCCAGCCTGGGACGGGCTGCACAGCTCAGTACTGCGCAGGCACCTTGAAAACCCGAGTGGGGTGCGGCTGATGGGAAACGCTGCACGGAAGGCGCACTGAAGAAGCCGCGTGGAGACCGAGAGCAGGAGAGTCTCAGAAAGGGGCCCCTCGGGCAGGGGCGGCGGCCGAGAGGCCTGCGGGGTACCGGCTGCAAAGCTTCCTGCCCCTGGCGTGTGAGGTCTCAACCCCACACCAGGACCCCGAACCCAGAGCAGCGGAGACGGAAGAGGAGCCCGCGTGGCAGCGGCAGCGGGACCAGGGCGCCGTCTCCCTGGGAGACTGGCCTCGCCCGGGCGGGGCAGGAGCCGGCCTGCGAGCCACCAGCCCGGCAGCCGCTCCGCTCTGCCTGCGGGGGAGTCCGCTGCCCTGTCGGGCCCAGCGCTGGGCTGTGGGCGGCACCCAGCAGTGACGAGGGCCCTCTGCTTTCCTGAAAGGCACTGTGCAGAGCGCGTCTGTGACTACACTGTTTGGCTTGGGGAGAGGGGAAATGTCCCACATTGAGCGAATGGTCAGAGCTCCTCTCCCCACCTGGGCTGGTGGCACCGGGAAGTGGGGCAGGTCTGGGATTTTTGACCTGCACTGTGGAGAGTTCCCAGCGGGAGTGAAGCTGGGAACGCCCCCCTCCCCACTGCTGAGACCAGACACAGAGAAATCAGGGTCCTGCACAGGCTGACTTTCTATCCCCTCCTGCTTGGTCTGGTGGCACGAGGGCACTGGTTGGTTACAGAGCTGGGATTTCTGAACTGTATTCTCCGGCGAGGCTTCTGTTGGGGGGACAGATGGGCAACTGCTGGGCTCTGTGGCTACATTGTGAGGAGGCTCATCCAGCTCCT